GATTCTACTGAAGATTATCCAAAAACGACTGGAACAGCACATCAGCAGAGAATTGCCGGAAGTCCAGGCTGGGTTTAGAAGGGGTCGTGGTACTAAGGATATTGTTGCTGATGTTAGATAGATCTTATCTGAAAGCAGAGACTTATCATTTATATCGTATAAAATTTCACTCATTTTAGATCTTCTTGTCAGTATTTTCAGTAAATTGTGTTTTGAAATCCTTTGTATTTAAATTTGTTTTGTGTTGAGTACGTAATAGCAAATTAGTCATTTCACCAGCTTTTTACATGTGTGATTAAGTGACATTGCTTTCATCCTGTTGTACAAACAGAACCTCTACCTGTTTCTAAAATTTTCAATTACCCTAAGAAGCTTGGTGGCCCTCAAATAAGGACTCATTTTTCATTTCCCTTCACCCTGGTAAATAAACCACAGGTAGCCATTGATCTCTGTATGTTTATTTGCTTGCTCTAAATGTATCATGTAAGTGAGATGCTATAGTATCTGTACTTCCCCTGGCATATTTTCAAGGTTAAACCACCATTAGTATATATATATCAAGACTTTTTCTTTATGGTGATGTATTTTTAAATTATAAAATTCATTATATGTTTATTTAGTTGACCATGTTGCAGTGAATAAAGGTTGTTGAGAGAGATGATATCTAGATAACAAATTTGTAGAGAGCTACAAAATTATTTGTAACTTACATTGGAATATAGGGAGCTCAGGGAGCCTAGTGGTAAGAGCTGTGCTGCAATCTCAAAGGCATGTGGTTCAAATCTGCAAGAAAAGTTGGTCTGCAGGAGAAGAGTAGGTGGTCTTCTCTCATGCAATTTACTGCCTCTGAAAACTTGCGGAAAGATCACCTGTGGGTCAATCCTGGCTCAGCACGTAGCCACCACAGCAGTCATTAACTCTCTTGGTTTGAATATCTAGTTAAAGATAGCAATGATGATTCTCTTGGCAGTTTACTTCTGTGTTTTGGAAAAGAATACAGAATTTAACATTGAACTTAGGGTCATTGATGCCAGTTTACCAGGAACGCCTATAAGTGTTAATGTGATTCACATCCAAGGTGCTGTTATACAGAAATTTGATACCAGAAACATGCTGTCACAAAACAGACACTTATTTTATAGACTTTTAGGTGAATAGACTACTTAAGCTTTTTTCTATTTTAATTTTAAACTTTCAAAAAGGAATATTAATATTCTTTAAGTCAGTATGTTGTTTTATGTACCATTGAATTGGAGCCAACTCCTAGCTAACTCTCCATTGAGTTTTCAGAGGCAGTAAATCACACAGGAGGAGCAGCTGGTAGATTCAAACTGTGTGCTTTTGAATTGGCAACCCAGCTCCTTACCACCTAGCCATCAAAGCTGACAATCTATTTATAGGTTTCATTAATGAAAATTCTTGTGGTCTCCAGCTCTTCAGAATAGAGGTGAAATATGTTCCCAAGGGAAGCTTTTTAGAATCTGAATCCATTTATCCATACTCTTGTTATTTTTTGTATTAGACTAGAAATAAGAATAAACTGTACTTAAATTGAGTACGACAACATTTGAGTCCTTAGCAGTTATATGTCTATGTTCTAGGTTGTCTGTAATTACATGAAAACTTAGTGATAATTAGTATGCTTTACACTAGGTTACTTAAGATGTGTGGTATATTAAAGATTTTAATCTTCTTAAAGGAAATTATGGTACTTGTAAAGTAGTATGAAATAAGAGAGGATCATATGGCTTTAAACCTACGTAGTAAAATGTTTTATTGTATACAAATTACAGAATTAAGCTATACAAATTATTGTTAAAACTCATAAAGATAATGGACCATTTATGTTTTCCTTTTCTTTAACAGAACGTGACAACAGAATTCATAAAAGTGAAGAATTTTTAAAGAAGGTAACAAAAAAGGAGAAGCAAAATGCCGAAACCAGTAAGTGTACTTTATTATCTTGGCATTACTTAATATAGTATGAGTAGTTTTAAGTTCTTTTAAGCTCTGGTGACACAGTGGCTAGAGTTAGGCTGCTGACAGAAGAGTCAGAAATTAGAAGCCACTGTGGCGCCGTAGAGGAGAAGTGTCTGTTCCTGTAAAGGTTACAGCCTTGGAAACCCTGAAGAGTACTCCTGCTCTGTCCTACAGGTTTTTTCTGAGTCAGAATTGATAAGAGATGATAAGAAAAAAATTACTATGGTAGAGTTGTTGGTTTAAAGGCTGTAAATTTTGTTGCTCATTGGCATGGCTATGATAATAGGTGAGTCAGTGAGAAATGATGTATGGATATATTGTAGTTCTGAGTTCTGGAGTCAGACTCTCTAGTTGTTATACTGATTTTGCTACTTAATCTAGCAGACTATTAGGAAGTTATTCTAGACTCTACAGTTCTTAATAAAGTTCTTTATAGAGTTGTTGTTACGTACCATAGAGTTGGAATTGATCCATAGCTGACCCTCTTGTGGATTTTCAGAGGCAGTTAATCACACAGGAGCAGATTGCCCATCTTTCTCCCATGGAGCAGCTGGTAATCTCAAACTGCGTGCCTTCAGGATTACAGCCCAGTTTCTTGCCACTAGACCACGAGAGCTCCCATACAGTAGTAGGACTAGATGTAGTTCCTTACTCAAACTGGTATGTTAGATGCTATCAAGTTGATCACGAGTCATAACCCTATGATCAACAGATCAGAAACCTTGCCCCATCCTCATGATCTCTGGCTTATGCCAATTGTTAACAGTCACTTTGTATATGCATCTTGTTGAGGGTCGTCTTCTCTTCTATTTTTTTGACTTTACTACACTTTTGCTAGCATGATATCTTTTTCTAAGTACTAGCTGTTCTAGACAACATGCTCAAATTATGTGAAATAAAGTTTCATCTTCTTCGCCTCTAAGAAGCACCCTGGTTGTACTTTTCCAAGACAGACTTGTTTGTTCTTTTGGCAGTGCATGGATTATTTAGTACTCTTTGCAGACACCACAATTGCAAGCCATCATTTCTACTTCTATCATCCTTATTCATTGCCCAACTTTCAGATGCGCAGAATGCACTTGAAAAATCCCATTATTTGAATCAGGCATGTCTTAAGCTGGTATCTTTACTCTTTAGTGCTTTATAGAAATCCTAGACAACAGTTTTTCTTTTATGAAGAATATGACATCAGTACTGTAGGAAGTCTCATCAGCCTGCAGATGACACATCTTTGCTTGTAGAACATGAGGAAGACATGAAGCACTTGCTGCTAAAGATCAAAGATGACAGCCTTCAATACGGGTTTCATCACAAAGTAGAACAGAAATTTTCACCACTGGGCCAGTAGGCAACAAGATGATAGAAGGGGAAAAGATTGAAGTTGTCACTGATTTCGTTTTACTTGCTTCCAGTCAACACCTACTCAAGAAATCAAAAGACAGATGTACTGGGAAAATCAGCTAGCTATCATATTCTTATAATGAGGATTAATTGAACATTTAGTGCTCAGTAAATGTTTTACTGGTAGAAGGAGGAAACAAGATATCGGGTGATGTTTATGATTTTTTTTTATTAATTTTCTCATGATTCTAGCTTGGATGTAAGTGATAACTATGCTGATTGTAAAAAGAGGAAGGGCTGCATGAGGACAGTCATATCTGACTTTTAACAACTTCACAAAGAGGAATTGTCTCTGTCAACAGCATCAGCAACACAACCAATTCCCATGAGGTCAGACATGTCTCCCATATCTGTATCTCTGCTCTTCTCAACACCAGTCTTACTGGGTCCAGAATCTGATGTGATAGCTCATAGACCACGCAGAACCTTAGGAGAGTCAGATTATAATAAAGGTTGTTGTTGTTAACATGCCATCAAGGTGCCTGTGACTCATAGCGATCCTTTGTACAAAAGCCCTAAACTCTACTCTGTCCTGTGCCAATGTCTCTGACACACCTACCCCCATTACCCCAGTCACTGAATCAATCCATCTCATTGAGGGTCTTCCTCTCTTGCACGGTCCCTCCACCCTTTCAGGCATGGCATCCTTCTGCAAGGACTGGTCCCACTTTACAATATGTCCAAAGTATGTCAAACTGTGAGCACATTTTAGAAGCTGTCATGACTCTATTCTGCTACTTAACCATATAATAAAAGTAATTATTACAAGTTAAGTAAGCAGCCGAATAGTCAGGACAGCTTCTAAAATGTGCTCACAGGCACCTCAGCCTGAGCCTTGCCACTTTAGGCCAGTATTATAAAATTCTTGGTCCTATGAATTATGGCCTCCCGCCCCTCCTCGTCCAACAAACAGACTTGGGCAGAGGTTCTTAACTCAGTTTCCAGTGGTGTAGCAGTCACAAGGTCATGTCTGGACTCTGGTTCTCCGTCTCACGTCAGTTCTCAGGTCATCCACTGTAGCTGCTGTGGCTGTTGGTCCTGTAGGCACTCTTGCTTGCTCTTTTCTTGGTGAAGAGGTTGTCTTCCTTCTAATACTAGAGCTATTCAGTTTAATGGAGAGATAGCAAATCCCGTGTGGATGAGCTAACACTCCCTATTTGCATTTTCCCACTTTTATCACATGGCAGAGTCACATTGAGTAGGCTGCGAAATTCATGTTGAAAGATAACCTCCATACTTTTATTAAATATATTTAGTTTATTTAACTAAAGGTATTTGATTAATTTTTCATTTACTGGTTCTCCTTGATTGGGAGTCACTTCTGTTGTTTTACAGTAAAAGGCTTTTTTCTCTCCCACTCTACCCCCAATCCTAACAAAATTGGCATGTTCATAGTAAAGTTTCTTTTAGTCATTAACCTCTTTTAAGGGAAGGCAAGAGCTACAGTTACATTCTTTCATGAATTTTACTTTGGAATAATTCTAAAGTTGCAATAGGCAACATATGCATTGTTCGAGGGAGAGAAGAATAAAATGCATAAATATTAGGAAGGAAGCAGTAGTTTTTTGTTTTTGCTTTTGTTTTTTTTTTTTACTAATGGTACGATTTCCGTGTTGGCCATAATTTGTTATGATCACGCAGTCAGATGTCTTTGCAAAGTCAATAAAACATCGATAAACATCTTAGTAGTATTTTCTGTGTTCAGCCAAGAGTCATCATACATCAGCAGTGATAAAACCCTAGTGCCATGGCTCCTTCTGAATCCAGCTTAAACTTCTGGCAGTTCTCTATCATTGCATTCTTCTAGTTGGTTTTGTACATAGTCTTCAGTAATACTTTGCTTGCATGGGATATTATTATTGTTCTATAATTTCTACATTCTGTTGGACCACCTTTCTTTTGGAATGAGAACAAATACGGTACTTTTCTAATCAATTGTCCAGCTATGTGCCTTCCTAATTTCCTAACACAGGCTGGTGAGCACCTCCAGGTCTACATCTGCTAGTTGAAATATGTCAATTGATACTTCCTTCATTCTGGGGCCTTATTTTTTTGCCATTGCCTTCAGTGAAGCTTGAACAACTTCTTCCTTCATTGCTACAGGCTCTTTATCATGTGCTCCTTCCTGAAATGGTTCTGTGTCAACCAGGTCTTTTCATTAATCATCTGTCTTCTTTTGATGCTTCCTGGATCATCCAAGGTTTTGCCCACAACATCTCTCAGTAGTGAAACTAAAGGCTCGAATTTGTTTTCAGGCTCTTTCAGCTTAAGAAATGCTGAGCAAGTAAATTCCCTTTTTACTTTCTGACTCTAGCTCTTTGCATTTTAATAGAAAACTTTGATTTTTTAAAAATACTATTACTATTTTTCGTTTTAATAAAATGTACAGAGATTTTGGATTTCCATTCCTTCATTGTTGCACTTTTCTCCCTGCCCACCCCTCCACCCCAGTTCACTCTTCTCTTTGAAAAGTAAAAAAAAAATTCTTTCATTGTTATACAGTCCCTTCCCCCAGGTCCACTTCACTATCCAGCCTTCGTTATGGACTCTAGTCATGACAGTAATACCTAATCACATAACCCTTTTAAACTGTTTTCTCCCTTATCTGTTTCAATTCAGTATACATTATTGAACCCATCTTTCTCAGTCTCCCCCCCAAACCCGATGTCAGTCCCATTTTACAACAGTGGCACCCTGCAGTATTTGTCCTTTTGTGACTGAGATATTTCACTCAGCATATGGTCCTCCAGGGTCACCCACTTTGAATAATATTGCATGAGTTCCTTGTTTTTCAATGCAGCATGGTATTCCATTGTGTGAATATACCACAGCTTCCCTAGCCATTCGTTTGTTGATGGGCGCTTAGGTTGTTTACAACTCTGCTGTTGTGAACAAAGCCGCAATAACATGGGTGTGCAAAATTTTGATCTTTTTGAACTGTCATTTGGAATCTTTTGTTCATTGCTTTTACTTTAGCACCTCTTTCTTTTATTTAGAATTGTTAATGCTCTAGTGAAATTTTCAAAGTCTTGTCTGACATCCATTTGGTCATTTGAAATGCCCATCTGGTCCAACAGGCCATTATCTGACCAGACCAAGGGAATACTGCATGGTTTAAAACCAGGAAAGATTTTTGTCAGGGCTGTAACTTTCTCCATTCCTCTTCAGTCTGTATGTTGAACAAATCATACCAGAAACAGAACTTTATGAAGAATATGGCATCAGTAACAGAGGAAGACTTATCAACAATCTGCATTATACAGATGACACAACCTTGCTTGCTGAAACTAAGGTGCTTGCTGCAGAAGATCAAAGATTGCAGCCTCTAATATGGATTACATCAAAACATCAAGAAAATGAAAGTCCCCACCAACTGGCAACATCATGGTAGATGGAGAAAAGATAGACGTTATCAACAGGCTCATCTTACTTGGATTCACAGCACCCTTAGTACTAACAGGAAGGAAATCAAAAGATGTAAAGAAATCAGAAGGAAAATTGTACTTTCAGGTACCTCTCTAAGAGCTGACGAGTGAGGACATCAGTATAAAGACTAAGGCATT